TCGATAGAGAAATGTCTGCTCTAATTTGGAAACTAAAATTCAACTCTATATGTCATTCAGAACTTGAGTTATGAATAGTTTTTTGAAGATGGTTTGTTGTCCGGCAGAATTAGGTTCTCTGACTCTTTATGATAAAAAGAAAGAAGCATCGCTATTCCGTTACTAACAAACCAAACTAAGAATCTCGATTGAAGTCTTATAGAATCAACTCACTTTTATTTGATTTATTGTGACAATTGTCAACCTCAAGTGGTTGATTTGATACGAATATTACTGATTTTATAGGTGAGGTGTATCGCCTATATATCTTAAAAAATATCAGAGAACGAGAGAAAAAAAAAGAAGACAGCGTGCTTATTTTATTAGAAAACATGACGCCGCTCATGTTTATCGCTTATTGTAAACACTGTACATATACAACAAGATCGGCTTACTATGTTTGTCTCTGATGTATCCGTACACCTATCAATGGTGAGTAGATACAAGGTTTTTACTATAGATGTGGAATAGACAAGAACAGAAATATGTCGTTATTTATCGAACAGACTTGTTGTGCTGTTTATAATGTAAAACGAAGGAACGAACATAAATCACGCTGTCTACTATATATGAATCCATGGTCAAATCATCATATGTCAATTATTCGAACACAAACGTCGTTAATTGAAATATCGATAGTTATAATGAAGCTGCATCTACAGATTCATGCTCACAAATATAAACGAAAAAACAAATATGAACTGTTACAGACAGTAAAATGTAATTTCCTATCAACTATGTGATCGATGTCTACCTCACGATGACAACCTTGAAGCTGTGAATATTGATGATAATTAAAATGAAGACCCATCAAAGAACTTGTTTTGGCATACATTGAGGCACACAGTCAGGATTTTTCGAGAGAGAAGGATCAGATTTTTATCCATTTTCAACAGGACTTTTCTTTAATCATGATGAATGTTTCATAATTTATTCTTATTCATCTTTATGTATGTATGAGTATGACTTTTACAAGAAGAAAATTACAAACAAAAAAGAAAATACATAATAGGTAAGACAATTAATTTAGTACAGTCATAAAATTTATTTTACGTTTGGATTTGGCAAATTCATCAATAACACTTTCAATATTTAATTCATGAGCGACATTTTTATTAATACTGATAACAGCTAAATCACTCAGTTACTTGCTACCCATCCGATTGCCGTCATCTTTGAAACTACAATCTACGAACTCCTGCCTCCGTACTTAAGGCCTATATTGACTAACATTCATTGAAAACAAACATGTCAAGCAAGAAATAATCGTTAATAAATTAAACTCATGAGATATGATATCAATATTCTTTAATCTCTCGAGATTATCGTTGTTTTGTTTTTTCTTATAGTTGATTATTACATAAGGAAGGTCCATCACATTTACCATTATCAAAACAATATTCCATTTCACATAATAATCAACTCGAACTATGTAGTTCAATATGTTATAAATATCAACATGAACATTATCATAATAAACGATCATTATCACCATCATCATATACAAATCAATCATTTGATCAAATAGAGAATCATAAAAAACGTCAACATAAATCATCATCATCATCATCATCATCAAATAAGATTCTTTTAAATACAAATGAAAATCTAAATACAGTAAAACCTCTCTTAGTGAACACCCCTCCTTTATGAACAACCTGTTAAACTGAACACTCTCCGGTCCCACCGAGCGAATTTTGCTTATTTTGCCTCCCTCCTTTATGAACACCCCGTGATTCTGAATGTGAACGCATTTTTTTGGTCCCATTCGTATATATTAACCTTATCAATATGAACTCTAAAGGTGTCGCTACTTAAGAAAATAATACTATTGGAGCAATAGAGATGAAAATCAATGAACTGATTGGTTATGTAACTTAATTCAATGAATACGTACGAAGAGAGACAATAAGAAGAAAAATAATAAAACGACTATTATTGATATCACTGTTTCTTTAGACATATTTTCTGCCTTTGTTTTTAGATATGTCATCTCGAAATGATCTTACTCTCGAAGACAAAATTAAATTAATTAAAGAGAATGAATCTGGTTCACCATATCGTAAATTACGTGATAAATTTAAATTATCAATTGGGGCTATATCGAACATCATTAAACGCAAAAGTGAATATATGGGTGATTATGAAATTAATTATAACAAAAATGTAAAGAGAAAAATTAGTCATGATTTTAGTCAAAGAATAAATGAATCAGTTTATGAATGGTTCGTATCACAGAGAGCCAAAAGAATACCTGTGTCCGGACCTATTTTACAAGCATATGCACGGAGGATTGCTCAAGAATTAGATGATGCGTCAACATTTAAAGCCAGCAATGGTTGGCTGGAAAGATTTAGAAAACGTTATAATATAAATTTTCGTGTTATATCTGGTGAAGGTGCTTCTGTTGATCAAAATATAGTTGGTGAATGGAAATTACGTTTATTAACAATTCTTCAAGATTATAATCCAGCTGATATTTATAACTGCGATGAAACAAGTCTCTTTTACAAGCTCATGCCTGATCGTTCACTTGTTATTGATAAAGATGATTGTACTGGTAAAAAAAAATCTAAAGAACGTTTTACAGTACTATTGTGTGCAAATTGGTTGGGTACTCATAAATTAAAGCCGGTGGTAATTGGTGAGTAGTCATCTACTTTATTTCTAATATACATGGCATACTTTCTCTAGTTTTAGGAAAAGCAGCGCGACCACGATGTTTTAAAAATCTTGATTTAAAAAAATTACTTGTTTTTTGGCATAGTAATCGTACAGCATGGATGAACAGTAAAATTTTCACAAATTGGTTATATGAGTTCGATTTGATGATGGAAAAACAAAAACGTCAGATATTACTGTTTTTAGATAATGCTCCAGTTCATCCACCTGATATAATATTGAAGAATATAACATTGAAATTTTTTCCATCCAACTCAACTGCTTTGATCCAACCCATGGATCAAGGTGTTATTAGAACATTTAAAGCTCATTATCGACGACAACTTGTTCAACATATTATTGCTAGTGCTGATGTCGCACATACAGCTGATGACATCGTCATCACAGCTCTAGATGCTATCTGTTGGATAGATTTAGCATGGAAATCGATTACGGAATTAACTATACAAAATACATTTAAACGAGCTGGTTTCCAAATATCAAGTGATGCATTAGATTCAATATCAAAAGAAACAACAACAGCTGATGAAGTTATTGTTGCACAAGAACAGGAATATTTAAATGATCTTGATAAAGTATTGAAGTATGTAAATGTTGGTGGTGGTACTATGTCGGCTTCCGATTTTATCGTGAGTTTTTAATAATCAGTCTAGATTCTCATGGATTTTTCATAATCTATTTTTTGGTTGTTCTAGGGTGTCGACAATAATTTGCCAGTTTTCAATGAATCGGATGATAATAATGAGAATATTTTATTAGTTAATGTTGTTTCAAATGATGATACATTAAATGATGAAGAACCAGATATTGAACAATCACCTTCATTGCCAGAATCAATTCAAATGGTTCGTCGTTTAAAATTATTATCAACAACTCAACATCCAGAACTGCATTCATTATTAATACAATTACAGTCGAAACTCATTGATGTTTATTTAGATTCAAACATTGTGAAGCAAAAATCTATTCTGGATTTTTTTAAACCTATTCAATCAGGAATTGTACATCGTACTTAAACTAGACTATTTAAAAAATGTAAAATCTTAAAACTTATGTATTCAAATAAAATAATTAAATCTATTTAAACGCTATTACTAAATGATTAAACTGCTCCTTTAATCAATATTTGCTTATACCCCTCCTTTATGAACACTCCGTTATACTGAACGCTTTTCACTGGTCCCGACAGTGTTCATATTAGACAGGTTTTACTGTATTTCATTTAATGATACACAAAGAAAATATTCATTACAATGTTTAACAAGAATTGAAAATCATTTCATATGTCAATCAATTCAACAATATTCATTATTAGAATATAATTCAATATTAAATAATAAAAATTTCTTTCGTTTATTTTATTTGATATCTGATGGTGATTTATGTTTATTAAATCAATTATTTAATAATAATACTAATAATCGAACGGTTGTAACCCTCTTCGCCGAAAAGCATCTCGTCGAAAGACTCGTAGGAAGCTTTAGAATGTTGCGAGTCCTTTAATTCTTATATAGGCTTGTTCAGCACGAAGAGGTCAACTCATTCTGCTCTCATCTTCACCTTTTGGGCGCCCTCCGTGGCCAAAAAGTACTTTCAACGAAGTATGTTTCCGCGAAGAGCATATATACCTAATAAACTTATTGAGCTGTTACATGTGCTGAATCACACCGTAAATAAGTATCCTCAAATTTTAATTGATTATAAAGTCGACGTTCATCATCTAATATCTTATCTTTGTCTGCCACATATCTTCATTTCGGCAATTTTGATAATGATTATCGACAAATACGTGTTAGATCTCCTGGTTTTAGTACTTCTACTGCTATGCCACCAGTATTATGTGGCTTATCTTGTATACTTCTATCAACAACATCTTCATTATTAAACGTCACAAATACAGAACCAAAATGTATTATTACTTTTATCTTTTGCTATAGTACAGGGTTGTGCATAACCTTTTGCTAGGGGGATAGTGCTATGATTTCAAGTTGAATACCTAATGAATTTTATACCAAATTAAACTGCGTCGAAAATGAGATTTATTAATACTAAATAGTAAGAGTTATCAAAACCTTTTAATGTCGAACTTACGAAATTTTCAAAAATTTTATGCTTTGTTTTTGGACTAGAAAATTAAGGCGCCAGCAATTCAAATATAGAGTAAAATATTTTCTTTTGATATTTTTACATGGGTTGATAAAGCTCGTCGAGCTCTACAAAATTATCTATATTAAAAGTTGTTTTAACCCATTTTTCTGAGATAAAAAATTTAAAAAATGACTTGCAAAATCCTAAAAAAATGTGTAAAACCTCGTTTTTTATATGCAAGAGAAACCCTCGATTTTCTCAATAAAATTAGCTTTTTTCATTATTTTTATTAACAAAGATGCTTCGAAATATACTCTTTAGGCACATTTTTCCACATTGCATCGGATGAGTATATTTCGAAGTGTCTTTGTTAGTAAAAATAAATAATGAAAAAAGCTGATTTTATTGAGAAAATCGAGGGTTTCTGTTCCATATAAAAAAACGAGTTTTTAAACATTTTTGTTAGGATTTTGCAAGTCACTTTTTCAATTTTTTATCTCAGAAAAATGGATTAAAACAACTTTTAATATAGGTAATTTTGTAGAACTCGACGGGCTCTATCGACCCACGTAAAAATATCAAAAGAAAATATTTTACTCTATATTTGAATTGCTGACGCCTTAATTTTCTAGTCCAAAAAAAAGCATAAAATTTCTGAAAATTTCGTAAGTTCGACATTAAAAGGTTTTGATAACTCTTACTATTTAGTATTAATAAATCTAATTTTCGACGCAGTTTAATTTGGTATAAAATTCATTAGGTATTCAACTTGAAATCATAGCGCTATCCCCTACCAAAAGGTTATGCATAATCCTGTACATTTAGATAAATTATGTACAAGAGTTTGATATTTTAACGACGCAGACGAAGATATTTGAAAGTAAAAGAAAACAATGAATAATATTTACGGTGCTAAGTAAAGCATTTATGCAGACCTTCACGACTTTCTTATCGTATATATTGAAAGTTGTAGCTGATGCTAGATAATCAATCAGAAAGAGAATCATATACGATCAATCAATAGTATTCATGCGAAACATGTCGATAACTGTTAATAGAATTCTCTTTATAATGAATTTCGGAATGACTACTTTAAAAATTCTTTTAAATTTCGGTCAGCTAATTGATCGAAACCTAAATTTTCACGATTTACAGTAAGAATAAAAAGCCTGCTTGCAGTAAAACGTTAATATCGTTAGGAAAGAAACGATTCATGATAACTCATAAAAATGATTGTTCGTTTTTTTCTATAAAATATTGATATTTTTTTTCGATAATTGACATTTGCAGCTTCGCACTACATTACTGTCATCTAATTACGTATTTGTTGTAATCGCTCATCTGAGATCTATGATGAAGCAGTTACTAATATGATCAATGAAATTAATTATTTGCTGAACAAATGATTTAAAATCAACTAAGATACATGAACATCCTACATACAGAACGAGATTTTTCTATATTGTCAAATTAATATGTATATCTTGATAAAATAGTGTTTCTTTTTCGTATTGAACTTTTTTTCATTAATTTCGGATAATTGGTCATCATATTCTTATATTTATATTACTGGAACTATATGAGGATATGTGGGTGTAGATGTAGATTGTCTAGAGCCAATGGAATCCGGAACCAACCCGACAGGCTTTATTCCTGACCCAACCCAATTCCAGAAATATACACATCATTTCTATATACCTTTCATATTGAAATTAATTTCCTGATCTAACTCAAAAACTCTACAGTCCATTTCTATATTCGTTTTATAATAAAATCATTTTTTTTCGTTTCTATACTGTCTTATGATTTCTTCAATAATATAACAAAATGCTGAATTGATTTCTCTCTTAAATCAAGCGATCTATACTGATCATAAACTATTTTCGCTTACTTTCATAATGTGAATATTTATTTTCTCTCCAATTAAGGAAAAATGTTTTGCAATCAAGAAGACACGATATGATCTATACTCGTAAAATAAATTTAAATATTAATTAATTTCAATAGGTTTTCAAAGATTCAAAAGTTAATAATCAAGTAAAATAATTTTTAAAAACTGTATTCAAATTTATTACAATGATAAAGTCTGTCAATTAAATGTTTATTGGAATCAATAGTATAATTTGATAAAATGGAATAGAAACGAAAAAAAAACAATAGATTGTTTGTGTTAATAGGACATGATTTTTCGTGTCTGTCAGAATCATTATCACATTCATCTAATGATGAAGAAAAAATAGATGCCAGTCTATTGATAAATAAACCAGATAACACATTAATAAGAATATGAATAGCAACATTCCAAAATATTTATTGAAAAGTCAAATATGACACCACTCGATTGGTTAAATGTATCGAAAACTGGAACATTTATTCAACATACATTCGGTAAGTCATCTTCAAAGAAGAAAAAAAAGATTATACAATGTATATCTAATAAGGTGCATTGCCATTAATTGGCTCGTTGAATGATGCCGGTGTCTTATCAGTCACTTCAAAAAGTTCAAGTTCAAAATCATGTACATTACCATCATTAACATCAACGAAACGTAAGTTTGATTTTTTAATATTATTTGTTAATCAATTGATCTGAAAGAATAGATTTATCTAACGATTAATTTTACATTTTCCAAAAAGAATTTTCTTTTCAATAAACTTACAAACAAATTGACAATTGTTACAATGGAAAGATAATAATGCATATACAAAAATTTTTCTATAGATAATGAGAAAAAAAATGAATTGTCGACAGAAAATTTACAAGAATTAAAAACTAGAATTCAATGAAGCCATGTTTAGGAATGCAACGAATCTAGAATAGATTTGATACCAAAACCTAAATATTTGGATTTGGTCTTGCTGTTGGACCAAATAATAATTTACAATTTGCTAACCATTATCGAATCTCTAACGGTTTCTCAGATCAAGAAGTAAGGTCCGTTTCCGACCGAAAAACAGTAAGGATTTGGAAGCAGGAATTTTGATGGTCAGCTCTGCTCAGTTACGACCGAAACTAGAAAAATCCAGCCACCAGAATCATGGACTTGAGTTATATTATTTTTTCTCAGAGGGAAACCCAAATCCAAATACCAAGACTTTGGTTCCAAATCCTAAAATCTTTTTCAAAATGTACTGTGGGTGTAGTACAGTAGGATGTTGTTAATGGCATCTTATCTTATTAAATTCAAATTATAGAATATCAAATTCCAAGATTTTGAGTTTGTTACATCTTTAGTTATGTTTACTATAAACGAGAAAATTTTAACAAGAAGAATTACTAGATTTATTAATGCACAGTAGTTGTAAGTTTTATTATATCATACTGTATGTAACGAAGAAATAAATGATGGTCCGTTTGACTTCTCCCTATCCAGAGCCTCGCATTGGAATCCAATACACAAGCAGCACAAAAAACAAAACTATATATGATAGTCAAAAAAAAAAGATTCGGAATCAAAACACGGTTGACTCCACAGGATTCTATCCCTATCATAAAATTTGAAGAAATAAATCATATATTTAGTATATTTATGATTATATGAAAATATTTATTCAGATTCTCGATTATCTACACCATCACTTTCTTCAAGTGATGGAAAAGGTAAACGTCCATTATCATTTTCTCCAATGTCTGATAATTTATTAATGCATACACAACAACAACAATCAATAGAAATGAATCTTATTTCAAATGTTCAACATTCGAATCATCTTCCATCTAGAGTAATCATTATGTGTTTTATTTTTATTTAAATATTTATTTATAAATATGATTTAAAATAGATTCTTACCCCATTAATTGAACCTAATGAAATTCAATGTCAATGGTTGGGTTGTGATCTTTTATTTTCAACACCAATGCAATTAACAGAAGTACAAAATTTTAAGAGGATTGATAACTGTTGAAATCGGATTCATCAAGAAATTTAATTTCTTCTATATCAAACTATCACAAAAGGTGTCTGAAAGTTATTTCTAGTGGAAACCGATTGCAACAGTTATCGACTTCTCGCTTTCATCAATATCGTTTTTTTTTCGTAGCATATTCGATCTGTTCATATTAATCGAACTGATTCTCGTACATGGTTATGTCAATGGCCATCATGTACACGTAATCGAATGCCATTTAAATCACTTTATTCATTATTTCTTCACTTACGAACACATACACAAGATCGACCATATCAATGTTCACATATTGGTTGTACAAAAACATTTACACGTGCAGAATATCTGCGTTTACATGAACGTTCACATACAGGTGATTTTTCTTTTTATATTATTTATTGATTTTAATTTTGAATTGTTTTTTTTTTTTTTTAAAATAAAAATAGGCGAAAAACCATATCCATGTGAATATGCTGATTGTTCAAAAGCATTTAGTAATCCATCGGATCGAACAAAACATATTAAACGAACACATTTAAATAAAGTTGAAATTTTAATTTTGTTTTTTTAGAATAAATTAAAAACAAAACGAAATTTTCATTTTTTTTTTTTGATTTTTAGAAAGAATATATATGTCAAATTCAAGGTTGTAGTAAATCTTATACAGATCCAAGTTCATTAAGAAAACATGTTAAAAATATTCATGGTGAAGATGCATTTCGACAAAAAAAACATAAACGTACAGATAATAATAATGATAATAAACAATTTGAAGAAACAAAGAAAAATATTTCAAATACAATATTAATTTCAAATGTTAGTTAAACTGTTTGTTTTTTTTTTGTATTTCAATCATCGATTTTATTTTTGCATAGTTAAATTATCCAAATGGATTAAATAATCAATCGAATATTCTTATGGAAAATAATGATGATGATGATGAAGATGTTATTGTTGATCAAGGAGTTTCATTAAATGTTGATGTAAATTAATTCTTTCTTGTTTTTTTTTGTTTTGGTTTTAATGATCAAAATTTTCTTTTTGTTTAGATATTAGGAGATACCTTAGGAGGATTATCAGTCAGCACTTCAACTGCTTTACCTGTTCATCGAGCATCGAAGACAAATTCTTTAAAACAAATTGCAAAAAAAGCTGTTCTACCAGCTATACATATAACAGGAGTTTGTGAAACAGATGGAGACGAAACATCATCAAATAAAGGTGATTTAGTATATGAATTCTCAATTAGTTTAAGATCAGATAAGAATTTTTTTTAAGAATGAATAAAATACTAAAGTAATCCTTTCATTATTAATAGACCTGAGTCAAAGCCGAATTTTGACAAACAATCAAAAGTTGTATATTGTAAATTAAGGAGATTGATCATATTCCGATGAAAAGAATGCTGTCGCTATCAAACTAACTATTTTAATATATGGGCTATTCGCAGCATACACGGACTGAGATACTCAAATTTCAAGATATTTACATTCTCTATGTCATACGACGACACTTAAAAAATTTCAACAGCATTTATTTTTCCTTTTTCACGAGAGAAGAAGAAGAAGAAGACCTCGAAGTAATAAATTACTTTTGAATCGAGACAATGTACATTATGTCGACCTAAATGAGCTATAAATATTCTGAAAAGAATTCGTAACTTTTGCGGTATTTTTTAAATGAATACCGTGGTAATAGAAAATAAAGCTTTCCTTGCAGATAGGTCTTAACGAAAATCGTTTATTGTAAAAGTTTGCTCTATCCTGAAATACAGACATCGATTCTGCTGATTTATATGAGTGATGTAAAAGACACGCTATTACCATAGTTGTTAGCAAAATCTGAAACATTCACAAGAAACTATTTTTATTCAAGTCTTTTTCTCTCTCTCTATGGAAACTTTCAAGTTGAAAATCTAAAACCAATTTTTCCGTGAACTCAATTCTGATAGTGTCGAGGATTTTAGTAATTTGCTCAAGTGTTTTTTTTAAGTCTATGAACAATCATGAAAGTATTCTTAAGTTCTTTCACTATGTGTGAATCTATGATAGACAACTTATAAATCTTTTTTTATTAGCTTAGTTCTACTTTCTTTCTCTTAATTAATTGAAAATAACTACAACCAAAATCAAACTCGATTCATTAGGTTCAACGCATGTCTAATCATCAACAAAAAGAAAAAAAGAACGAAAATTTAATGATGTGCTTGATAATTCATTGAAAACTTAAGATGATTTTTATAGAAATTATTCTAGGACAACAACATCAAGTTGCATTTCGTTCAGTTTATAATCATCGTATAAGTGCTCATTCTGGTAGTACTGCATATAGTAGTATGAGAAGTGATTCAATGAATGTTGATAGTGCTCTTTTTCTTCCAAGTAATCATTCAAGTATGGTATGTATTTTGTTTTTCTTTTTTAATATATTTCAATTTGAACAAAAAAAAAAAGATTTCTTTGGCTCAACATCCAAGTGCATCACCATATGAATATGATTGTATATCAAATGATAATATCAAGTAAAGAAATTTCTTAATTAAACGAAATACTCAAGATTTAGTTTTTTTTTCTTTTCTGTTAGATATGAAACACGAAGTAATAATGCATTAACAATTCCATCTATTCAAACTTCTTATGTTTGTATTTAATTTTTATGGAAAAAATATTTTGTTCGTTTTGTTTTGTTTTTTTTTTTTGTATCAGAGTCCTCTTCGATGTTCAAATGGAAGTTCAGAACAACTTCTTACATTACCACGTGTAAATTCAACAACAAGTCATTTAAGTTCAATATTAACTAATGAATTATCACCATCGAGTAGTTTTTGTGTTAGTACATTATCAGGTGATATTCAACAACCAACAATATTAAATTCGAATCCAAAAATGACACATTTACTTTATTTTCTTCAAACACTTGAATATAATCAACATTTAGATAATGAAGATATTTAAACAATAAAAAAACAATTATTTTTTTTTTCTTGTTTCGAAAATAAAACAAATAAACTTCTATGAAAGCAAAAGCCTTTTTTTAATACACTATTAGCAAATTTTGATATATACAAAAGTAAATGTCCTAGAAAATGGTTGGCGTCCACCTTACTTTTACATGTACTATCATAAAAATTAGAAAGACTACAGATAATTTATGAACTGATGTTCTTTCATTATAAATTTTTCTCGACGAATTTTTGTAGACCTATCAAAAGATTCTCATTTCAATTCTGTACAAAATTATATTGGAATGTTTAATCTAACCTTTCCATTTAAAAAAATAACCGAATAAAACTACTTTCTTGCAACATGTACGACTTTCTCACATCAAAAACAAAAATAGTTATTTTGGTTTTATTCATCGGGACTGTGACTCTTCAAATAAAGTTATTAGTCATTTTATAGCTCACAAAATGCTCAATCATCTTTCAACTATGTTCAAACGATTTTGACATCAACGCCCGTTGCTCAGGAAAAGAATGTTGTTTTTGAGAACTGACAAAAATCATGATGTTTGGAACATCCAGAAGCTTTGGTAAAAGTTCACTAAAACTTAATTTTTTTCAGTTTTATATTTTTGTAGTTTGAATAGAAATGAAGGATATGTTACACTGAGTGCTCATTGTGAGAATACAACCCTGCATTTAGATGAAATTAGCAAAATAATCCTTATTTTGATTACTTTCGACCCAGTTTCAAGAAGCTAGTCTCAGTGTCATAATGGTTGGTTGCAATGATCTTCGTTGTATATCAAGAGAAAGAGTTCAATTCATTGTACTCAAAAATTTTTCTCAGATACATTGTCAAATGATTGCAAAAGGAACCCAAGTTTTTTAGAGAATTGAAACGGAAATCTTTTGAGACTAGGCACAAATTTTTACTATGAAAGCTAGCCGAGAAAAAACACGAAATACAAATTGTGCCATTGTTGATGGATCATCCGTTACAAAGCTTTTTTTTTTCTTCATGTTTGTTTTTGAAGAATATACAATTATCAATGTTATTAGTAGCAAGGTTTATTTTTCTAAATTCTTTTTGTATATATATATGTGACTTTTTCAGCTGTTTATTAATTAAAAAGTAATTAGTGAATAAATCTCTAACCATATGACTTCAGAAAACTTCCTATTGAAAAATCGGTTTTCTAGAGATCCTATCAGGTCAAGAAATAAAAATTTTTATCTTACGATCATTTAACGATTCTGAAGAAAGATTTGTACGAATTTAGAATGGATTTTGAACTTCTCATTCGATTCACAAAAAAAAACTAAATTTTCGTTGGCATAAATGACGATAGAATAGAGATAGAATTAACAAAAAAAACAATTCTCTTTTAAACATAAATCATAATCTCAAATAAAATAAAAATTCGTTTTCTTTTTGTATATATAAATCATCACCTGCATGTCATGACGACTATTGCTTAAAGGCAATTCCTATCATCTTGACAGATATCATGATGATACAAGCAGGTGTATACAAATAAATAAATATATATATATATATATATCGATTGTTTAACAAGCTATGTCAATTGCATTGTAACGATATATCCAATTAACGAATTTTCAATTTATGACGTGAATAGTTATATGTAATATGTTATGTAGCGGGAGAGAAAAACAAAATGAATAAGATAGTTTTAATTGTCTAAATGATTTTAACATATGAATAAGATTATATCATGGATAGAAATCTGTATTGTCATTCTTTTTTTAAGATATTTTTTTTCTTTCTTTTATCTTATTCGATTAATGAGGTTTACATCACCTTTCGATCAAATCAAAGAGATGATGTTCATCGATCATCATCGTTCAAATTCTATAATACATTCATGACACCTTCTCTTTTTTTTGTTTTCTTCTCTTTCTCTCAATGGGTGTATCTTCTTTGAACTTAGGAAACAAGTGTTCATAGTTGAAAATTTCCGGATTTTACAATCAAAAATTAAGTATAATGCCTTCTCAAGTAGAACATGTAATGACTCTTGAATAAATGAATTTCAACAGGAGTCGATTTGACATTTACGTAATTAAAATAAAAGAAAGTGAGGAATGTTTTCGACAAATACATATCCGTAAATAAACGATGTATAGAACTTTTTAGTTTTTATTTTTTTCTTGTGTAATGATAATTATCATAACTTTTGTTTTAAAGTTTTGAAATGAATTTGACTAAATTCTTTTGTTTATTCTTTAAAGTATAATGTGTAAATAGTTGAACTATTAAAAATGAAAATCTCTACAATTAGTAGGATGTATTTTAAATTATCTGAATCTATTTTCTTAGAAAATGTAAAACATCCTTAAAGACAAATAGAAAATCATAGATTAATAATTACTCAATTCAAAATTTCAAACATACAAAAATTTCATTTATTTTTCTTTGAATAAGATCATACATTATCAAGACGTCAATATAAAGAAGCCTTTATTCAAACACTTCTGTATATTTTTCAGTTTTTCTCAGAAACATCAATTGCATTACATTCGTTTGATTGATTTAATTAAACAATGAATTCACACGAATACAAAAGTAAATTTTAAGAAATCATCCATAACAAACATCCGGATAAAAATCACATTTTTTTATACCTTCCCAGTGCTGTCCGGTCATGACTGCTTCCTCTGGACGGATGTTAGAGATAAAAATGATTGTTAGTTTTCTATCTCCTGGAACTCTATTTGGATTATCTAGAATGATAGGATAAATAATTTTCTACAAAATTTCTCTATACAAATCACTATTTGAATTCTTATAAGCGTTAAGGATAATAAAAAAAAGAAAAAGAAAATTGAACATTAGTCGAATAATTTTGATAGTCACTATACATGATTTACGTACTTTTCGAAATGCTTAAAATAAATGTTCGCGATATGTTCAGATGCAACTGATCCGTCTCTCTTCTCTTTTCCTGAATGTCCTTTATCAAACACCCCCTAAGGAGAGTCTATTATCTCTATTAAAATTTAAACTATCAAACTCTTGAATTCATTTAATCCTTCATCTTCTATTCATATCTGTGAGAAAACTTTATCGAGTGTTAAATGATCATTTTTCATGTGTGAATCACAAAACAATAGCAAAAAAGAAAAACTCTACTATGTTGTTATTATTTCTCAACTAAACAAGGTGATAAGATGGTCCTTTTATCCATAATACAATTCTCATAGTTATATCTTTCTTCCATAATAAAACAACAAGTAGCTTGTTTCATCATATTCGATCAAAAGAAGAATAAAGAAGCCTTTAAAAATAAAAATTTATCATTAAATAAATAGATCTAGTTCTTGGATATTAGCCAATATATCATTGATACAATTAATTAACAACGATATTTTTGATTTTATGCCAACATGAAATGTTTACGTCATTTCAAAAAAAAAACCTATATACGCTGACGGAAAGAAAATGCTTCCCTATTGGTCTTCACTTGTTCGCATGGCAGGTTCATGTGAAAAAGAGAAAAAAAGAAAGAAAGCGACAGAGAAAGAGAGAGAGAGAGAGAAAAGAAAATTTGCACTAGACATTCACTCGAAACGAAATCTATATATATATATAAAAGAGAGAAAAGTCGACGTGTGTATATACATATTCGTCATCGTATTGTCTCGACATTGGTGCCTTGATATTCACTACCATGTATCAACTTCCATCTTGCTATTTACATGATATGATAACATCAATTGTAAGTTAGTAAATTCGAAAAAAATCGTGGTTTTTTTTTCAAAAAATAAATTTTTTCTTAATTTATTAGAATTTCAATGTCTTATCATCACCAACAAAAATTTATTCAAAAGTTGTTGGTGGTCCTGTACTTCGAACGACAAATTCTCAACATATGACAACAGATATTATTCAAACAACAACAACAACAGATAATAATAATAATACTAAAACAACATCACAACGTTATAAAACTGAATTATGTCGTTCATATCATGAAACAGGTTTTTGCAAATATGGTGAAAAATGTCAATTTGCTCATGGTTATTATGAAATACGTTCGTTAAATCGACATCCGAAATATAAAACTGTACTTTGTCGAACATATCATTGTACTGGATATTGTAAGTAAAATTTAAAAAATAAAATAAAATATCAAACGTCTTTTGATTTTGTTTCTCTTTTAAAGGTCCTTATGGTCCACGTTGTCATTTTTTACATGATGAATGTTCATCAGATACTTCAACATGTAATACAATTTCACCATCATCATCATTTGGTAGTGATATTCGTTCGTCAGTATCATCATCTCGATCAATTTCACCAATGGATTCACCAATAATAAATTCCGATGATATTTTTCTTTCTTCATTTTTACTTAATAAGTAAACAAAAAGAAAAAAAAAAAAGAAAACTTTAGACTTGAAATTTTTTCCTTTTTTTTTTTTTCGTCTCTATATTGAACTTATTTTTCTATTTATATATCACGTCTGTTGTATGTATAGTTCACATGTGATTTTGTCTCTTGTTATTAATTATTATTATTATTATTATTTTTTTGTTGATTTGCTCGGATCTATATTACCGTGTAACACACGTACGCACACACACACTCAGAAAGAGATGCGCATTGTATGTGCAAGAAAAAAAATTTTCTTTTTCTTTTTTTTTTTTGTTTTTCGTTGTTATACTTTAAACATACATTGCTGTGTTTGATGATTTGAAACTTGATTTATTTAAGAAAGATATTAAAAGAAAAATGATCGTATTATTTTTTTGTTTTCGTTTTTAATGATTATTGACTTGTATTCATATTATATATATTAAGTAAACTATTGATAGATGCAAAAAAATATTTTAAATCGAATGAACAATAGAACATTAGAAGATTTGTCATATAGTTTTTATTTTTTATGTCAAGAAGTATCTTTCATCGTAAAAATTAAAACTTATGAATATAATTGTATTTCAAAATTAGTTTTCAAGCGAATACATTGATTATCTTACTACTT